TTTTGTTTTGTTTTTATCTGTTTATCTTTGTGATGTTACAAATCCAGCTTAGGACCTCAGGCCTGCTAAAGCTACATGCTTACCACTGAGCCACATCCCCACCCGGTGACTTCATTTCCAGCTAGCATCTTAGATCATTTTTATAGAAATTTTACACTTGCTGCCATGCTGTCTAGGGACTTTGTGTACACACTCTTTAACCTAGTAATCCTACTCAAGAAATGATCCAGATTTTGAAGCAACCTGATGGGAATGACTTTGTGTGGAAAATCAGACATAGCCACAATGCAAATATTCAATGCTGAGAAAATGGTTAAGGAAATTTTGATAAATTCCCTAATTGGTAGATGTCTTACCATAGTTGAAGTACTAGAATTATCTTATTTATTCATTATAAAACTTCTGTGAGGGAAACATTATTTCTAACATTTTGTTTTAGGGAGATTAAGCTGCTTGTCTGAAAATAAAATTTTAATTACTGGATAAACCAGGATTACAACCCAAGTATGTGTGTTTAGAATATTCGAGATTTGTTGTATAAAAGCCATCAATTTAAAGCCCCCCCCCCTTTTTAAAAAAATCCACAAACATTATATATTAGAGTTTTACACCCAGAGGGCTTCCCCCTTGTTTCTCTTTCCCTTTACTTTTCCATCTAGGTGGAGAAACCTACCACATCTATCAGCTTCTGTCACTATGACAAGTTCCTGAGATAATTAGCTAAGCATGAAGGGTTTATTTTCACTCAGGGTTTCTGAGGTTCCTGTCAGTAGACAATTAATGCTATTGCTTTGGGGTCTGTGGAGAAGCAGGACATCACGGCAGTGAGTACATCGTAGAAGAGCTGCCTCACTTGCTTCTTGGAAGGATATTATGAACAAGCTAAGAACCCAATGTCCTCTTGAAAGGCACAAGCCCAGTGACAGAACTTCCTCCAATTAGGCCCCACCTACGTCCTTAAGGTTCTAGCCCCCTCCCTTCGTAAGGCCATCTCCTGGGGGCTAAACCTTTAGTATATGAGCACGTGTAAGACATTTCTGATTCAAACCCTCCCCGAAGTGTGATACATGGCAGTATCCCCAACACTGGGAAGACGGAACCAAGAGATTATGAGATCGAGGCCAACCTGGGCTATGTAGTAAGTTTCTGTCCTAGAAGACAAAGTAAAAAGACAGATGAAAACGATAACATGATACTTAGACATTTAAAAATAAATTCTAAAATAAAGTGAAGACCTAGATAAGGTGACATAGGACTATTGGTCTCAGCACTCTGGAAATTGAGATAAAAAAAACCCCAAGTCTGAGGCCAAACCTGAGATCCATAGCAAGACTTTATCTTAAAGACAGTGCATAAATATATATTTAGTATATATTTAGCTAACTATAACAGTCGTTAAAAATGCCTGAACAGAGGGTAGCAGTTACAGAAAATGCTGGGTTGTCCATTTTGCTGTATGCGAAGTGGTGTGTGGCCGATTGTCACATTTAGAGCCCGGCTATGTGGACAGTGGATGAAATAGATTCATTTTTTAATAATATTTGACATTGCTAATCGCTACTCCAAGCCGAGGGCTTATTCTTAAAAGCTGACAGGATACTGTCCTTTGCAAATGATGAACAGCTCATCAACAACACTAAGCCCTTTGTGTTACCTGTGCTTTTGTTCCAGCCTCTCCCGATCTTCTTTTTATAGCGTGAATGTTAAGTTTGAAGGACATTGTAAATAGTGAGAGAACAGAAAGCTCAATATTGCGAAATGGAATTAGCTGATTGGATTTCTGAGCCAAATCCATAGTCATTTATTGGCGATTGTCCTCAGACTCATTGTCCTTCTTCCAACGCTCTCCTTCTGTCTCTTCTTTAAGAAGTTTGCATCAACAATGGTTTTCATGGTTCGAATTTGTTTTGTTAGTGTATGAAGGCTAGACTCCAGCAGCTGTTGGTGTGAAATCATTACAAAAGATGTCATAGTCGCCCTTCCATGCTGCACTTGTCTCCAAAATGAACAGAACTGAAGACCCAAAGTAGTATCCTCCTTGGCAAAATTTTAAAGGCTTTTTTAAAAATTCGTTGTATTTAAACAGAGCTCCCCAACAATACAGGGAACATGGTATAAAGGATTGGAAAATGGCCTGTCAAAATAAGTTACTGGTCTTAGCCAGGGTCTTCCAAAGCTGTTTCAGCGAGGCTACTTATCTGGAGGATCCAGATTCAGTTCGCAACACCGACAAAATGGCTCACAACCCCCATAACTCCAATCTAGGGTATCAGAAACCATCTGCTGGTCTCTGCAGGCACCAAGCATGCGCATGGTATACATACACGCATACATATACATAAAATAAAAATAAACCTTTTTTAAAAGGTGTGTTTGATATACATTTCTAAGTTCTTCTACAATGAATCCTGGCTTTGAGATTTTCTCTTTTCTCGGCTATGGAAGTAACTGTAAAGTCCTGCCATGCCACGTCATTTTGCTTCACTTCAAGAGCACATTTATTGAGTGTCTACTATACACTTCCTTAAATGCTGTGGAGTTTGAAATCCCTAGCATCTCACACAGTCTAGTAATGGGAAAAAACATAAATACACATAAGTAATACCAGATCACATATAGAAAGTGCCATTCAGGGGGTAGAGATGAAAGAAACACTCACGGGAGATAGAGGGAGAGAATTATAATAATCATCTGCCAAGAAGACTTTATTAAGGACATGGCACTTGAACTTGGCTTGAAAATCTGGAAGCCTTTCAATAAACAGAAATGAGCAACAGCTCATAGTATGTTCTCAGTTAATGTTTACTGAGGGTATTAATAAAAATAAAAACTCAGATGTGAGACGTGCTTAAAAAATAGCAAGTTCACTAATGTATACCTAACCACAAAATCTCCTCATGTAAAAAATTCTAATTCAAACAGTCCGTGCTATACACAGAGGATGCATTCTTGGAAATTAACATGAAATGTTTATGTCAAAAGCAATTTTCCCATAAGAAATAATGGTTCAGGATGGATTGGAGGTTTTAGTTAAACTCTAGTGATATTTGTTATAGCATGGACTCACAGTTCTCAAAGAATGCTTTATGGACTCTGGAAGTCCATGAACTCCAGAGAGCCACAAGATCGAAACTACTTTCACAACAACACTAAAAATGTATTTGTTGTTTTCACTCTGTTGGTATTTGCCAAATCACTGACTAGGGCAAATGTTAGCACCGCTATATAAATCAAGGCAGCGACTCTAAAACACAGTCCTAGTCACCCTAATCGTCACCCTAATCGCCACTACATATGTTTGCAGGATAATAAGTACCAGTCACCAACGAATACTAAAGCTGTGAAAATTACTGGTCTTGTTAACACTCAGCCTTTAAGTAAAAATTTGTATTATTTTGGGCTACAAAATGAGAAATCCACAACATATTTTTGCTTCAACTATATATCAGTGTCCATGACAAGGAAACACTCTTGTGAGATTATTTGTGTTGTGAACTAAACTAAGCCGATTTCATCACTAGTGTTTTGAATTTAATATTTTTGTTATGGAAGTGGGAAGTACATAAAGTACGCCTCAACTATACATCAATATGCATTTCAAGGAACTCAATGTTTACACATTATTGTCTGGAAAAGGAACAACGAGAGGCTGTCAGCATGAGGAAAAGAACTACCCATATTTGATACAATTATTAATAATAATTAATAATTAATGGTGCAATTCGAGCTCCCAGGAGAAGGCTAAGGGTTGACGAGAGCACGGGGCAGCTGGGCACACTGTAATCACAGTCCTGACATACAATGGGAGTCTCAGCTTCCTCTCTCCTTGTCATACGGTCTGGGACTCCAGCTATGGCGTGGTGGCATCCACAGTTAGGGGTGGATCTTCCCACCTCTTCCAGCCTAATCTAGAAAATCCTTCAGAAGCATCCACAGAGGCTTTCTTCCACGCTCATTCCAAATCTTGTCAAGTTGACAATCAAGACCAACTGTCCCCAACTCTCATTGAAAAACAAGGGGTGGGGCTGAGAGGACCAAATGGGTGCTGAGAACAGTGATTGGAGCAGGAATTGAGCATAGTGACATGAAGTCTTGGAGAGCGGTAGCCATGGAAATAAAATGGACCCTAAAGGGTGAATCATACTGCAAGCTTAGTTCTGTCAGTGGAGAGACTTGGGGATGATAGGAGTCCCATAAAACTAGGTCACATGACTAAAAGCTCTGCATCAGAGTTCCAAACAAACATGTCTCTTGCTAAGCATATTAGTTGTGATGAAGCAACCTGATTTAAAAGCTGCAAGAGAGAGAACTGTTCGTGGTTTTGTTTCCTTATTTCTACTGATCAAAATATGGGATTTGACAATTGTAAGTGATCATTTCAATTTGGCACTATTCATTTAAGAGACAGTTCTGTCTTTATTCCATTAAGAACAGGTATTGCTTTTATATAATGGAGATAAATGCAGGTCCAGGACACGTTGGTAGGGAATTTGTTTATGATCTTGCTGTCCTTGGAGGTGACAAATATATTTTACCTGTCAAGTCTTAAGTTCTCTATACGTATTCTCCTAACACAGAGACTCTCAGAAACTTAGATACAATATTATAAAAATGCAACATGCAATGTATCCTCTGGCTTCAGTGTGGTTTGAATGGAGCAGAAGAATGAAGAATGTGTCATGTCAAATGCTGTAGAATTGTCTCTCAGTATGAAGCTCGAAAATGTGTAAGCAATTTCCACATAGTTAAATTTGAAAAATGATTTTTTAAAATGGAGACTCGTTATGTTATACAAACTGGTGGTGATCTCTGGACTCGAGCAATTTCCCTGCTTCAACCTCCCTCTTGGCTGGACCTAGTAGTGTTTGCTCCTATGCCCAGTTGAAAAGCTTTGTTAAAAGCTGTGTACTTTATAATACCTCTTATAGGAACGTGTTCTTCTAAACCTATAAGCAAAAAGTAAGGAGAGCTTCTATAGTCCTGTTATCTTCTTTCAGCTCCTGAGAACCATGTCTGTGCCCAAGGGTAAAGTTCTGGATAAAAACCTGGATGAGGAAGGACTTGAGAGTGGAGACTGTGGCGATGATGAGGACGAGTGCATTGGGAGCTCTGGGGACGGAATGATGAAAGTGAAGAACCAACTGCGCTTCCTTGCAGGTAACTGCCTGAAAATGGTGATGCTCTCAGGAGTCAAAAATCAATTGCTTTCTAGACCTCCTCTAAAATCCCTGCAGCACACGATGCCATGAAGCCATAAACTCTTTTAAGAAAGATGACATTCTCAGAAAGCGAAGCTTTTTTTTTTTTGTTAGTTTCCCCACCTCTGACCCTGGGTAGATCAGAAAGGTCCTGTTCTCGTTTTCTGAAAGTGAATTGAGCTGAGCCATTGGCTCCGTTTTCCCATTGGAGTTGGCCTTGGTTCTTCTTGGTTGTAGAAAGCAATGCTACCTTGGGAGTCTTATGCCAACCTACAGTGAGGCTTGGGGTTGTAGCCGGGTAGAGTACTTGCATCTCATGTATGAGATGAGGTACTAGCCCTAATCCCCAACACCACCAAAAGGAAGTAACTCAACAATGGAATAACTTTATTATTTAATATATGAGCATTTTTTCCTGCATGTATGTATGTGTACCAGTGTGTGCTTTGTGGCCCTGGAGGCCAGAAGAGGCCCTGGAACTGGAGTTATAGTACAGATGGTTGTGAGCCACCAGGAGATGCTGGAATCAAACCTGGGTCCTCAGGAAGAGCATCCAGTGCTCTAAACCACTGAGCCATCTCTCCAGCCCCATGGAATAACTTTAAAGGAAGAGCTACATGTTGACTTTTCCTTCTTGAGAGAGAATGTCTATTATTTTCTTTTCTCACAACAGTCTAATATAGAAAGGCTATGTACAGCTGGGGAGAAACAATAGCAGTAGAAAAAAATTAATGCCAGGGATGCTGGCGTCAATAAGGAAGTGCAGAAACAGAACCAAGTCTTCTAACATTTGTTGTATCTCAGAGTTTTTAAGTCCTTTCGTATCAACAGGTTATTTCTTTTATCAAATTCTTCCTAATAAAGCTGGGCTCCGAGAAGCAATGAGATTTCTCGAAAGGAGAGAGTCAGACTTTCATCGCCATGCCTTTTCCTCCTCAGTGCATCCCTTCTGCCTGAAACTCTGTTGTCCAAGGTCTCCAAAATGCTTCATTCCCTGTTTCTCCCATAGCCCCATTCTCTTACTAACTGCTGTTCATCTTGCCCCCGCCCGCCAGAGGTCTCTTTTTAAGCCTCTTCTTCCCTCTTCTCTAGAGAGAACACACATGTCTTATTCTTGCTCACTCTTTAAATATTTTCTTGGAATCAGTCATTTTTCACTGGGGAAAACTATCATGATCTCCCCTCTTAACAAATTCTGTTTGTTAAGTACTGTTCATGTACTGTTCAGTATTATGAATTAGGCACACTTTGGTCAACAGCAGATGCTAGCATCTTCCATCATGCATGGCACTATGCTCAATGAACAGCACCTCTTCATTTCTTCCAGGCACTCCTCAGCCCCTGAAAACCTAAGGGAGTAAGTTTCCGTACAGAGCAAGCATATATTTGACTTTTTCTTACATATTAGTATGACTTCGAACAAATTTCCTCAAGTTTTATCACCTCCTTTCTAATTCTCCAACTCTTTATCAAATGGAGAGCGTAACCTAACTTCATGGGTCTGTGGCAGGAATATGTCAAGGGAAAAGTTGACAAAGCATATGTGATCATATTTGGCATGTACTAGCATATACCAGGTGCTCCGTAATTGTTAGTTTCCCTCCTGAAACCTTTTAAAACCAGCGGTTATGTTTTTAAAAAGATTTTTCTGAATTATTGAAGTAAGTTATGCCAGTGCTTTCAAGACATACTCTATAGAGCGATTTCCCGGTTCCGTGGGGGCAGAATCAGGATGGAGATCCAGATAGTCTGGTTTCAGAAGCCACTCTTGAACAAGTCTACTCAAATGCTTCCTTTGCTCCTCAAGGTAGCCATGAGAATATGAAAGTCAGTTTTTTTTTGTTTTTTTTTTTTTTTTTTTTTGCTACAGATTGAACATGCTTTGTCCGAAAGCCTAAAATCCAAAATACTATGAAATTCAAGCCCTTCGAGTGCCAACATGATACTCAAACGGGGTCAGATACTAAGAGATGTTCAGCCAGTAAAAACCTCACAAATATTCTAGAATCAGAAAAACTTCAAAACCTGAAGCAGTTTGGGTTAGGGATGGCCCCAACCTGTGTCTGGCAACTTCCGTGTCCATCTACATTCTAAAGGTTGCCCAGATGATTCATCAAAATGTTCTCTCGTCCCAGCCCTGGCCCTGAGGACACAACACCACTCATACTTCGCCAGCAAAGTCTCTCTGCTTATTCAAACCCATGACTTCCTGCCTGTAAGACTTGGCCCTCTCCATTAAAAAAGTTCTATAGTTTCAAGGTGACCTAACTTTTGTAAGCAGTGTTTGGCAGGGTCCTTCTCAAGGGCATTGTCAAAATGGCCTTAGATTGCATCCTCGGGGGTCCCTTTGTTCACGCGCACATTGATCCTCTCCAAGAATGCTAGTCAGGTTATTAGGTGTGATTAGCTGGAAGGCTTTTGTAAACTGTAGAGTGTATTATGCAGAGGTAGTTCATTTAATTTATAGGGGAAATGATGCCTTGCCTCCAAAGTATTCTATGTGCTTAATCAGATCAATGACTCTACCAGCCTGTGCTTTGTCGGATCTCTTTTAAAATGCTTCCTGTAGGGAAGAAACTCATTGCCAGCCTGTCATGCTCATGGCACAATAGCTATTTGGAATGGCAGGCTATCCGCATTGGTTAGCTGTTACATAATTTCACCCAAAATCTGGGTAGATGCCATGTGGTCCTGGTGATTCATCATCATCCATTTATTGAGTCAACTTGATTTGGAACATGATGTACATTTACCATTTCATTTAGTACTGCAAATTGCCTCCCCCAGAAGACAACTCAGGAATAAAGAGCATGGGTTAGACTCTGTTCAATTCTCTTGTATCTTCCTTTTGTCCCTGAACAGACCTTTTGCGTCATAACCAGTGAATGATGCTATTAGCTGGCTTTCCTGGCTCGCTTCTTCCCATCTTTTGATGCACTACATATAATAGAGTCTACCAGGTTATATTCCTGGGCTTTATTTCAAACTCCCGTGTGTCCTAATGAAAGTCCCTTCCAGTGTTTAGGAGTCAGTTTCTCCATCTGTAACATAAAGACAATGCCTAGACAACTCTTACAGACTTGTCTACTGCCAGCAGTCTGTGATCATTTCTTTGACTGTGTTTCCTGGCAAAAGACTTAAAAGAGTCTTTGTGGGATACCTTTTGGGGGATAACCTTGCAAGTTCTCTGTTCTCTTCTGAGATATTTCCACTTAGAATGGACCTGATTTTTCCTATTCTAACCACTCTGACTTTTCCATCCAGCCTTCTTGCAAAGAACCACCTGCACCTAGACCTCATTTGTACAGCTGGATATTACCAAGATTTTATATGTGTCCGAGATTCCTGGGGTGTAGTCACTTTTAAAACTCATCCTAAAGTCTTCCAGATGCTTCTACTTTTAATGGTCTTGCTTCCATCCCATCTTTCTTTTCTTCCATCTTTTCCCTTTTCTGTATTTTACAAATTTTTTTCATTCAGGGATGGACTTGTTATTGATGTATTGATGAGTTTGTTTGGTTTGGGGTTTTTTTTGGGGGGGGAGAAAGTTTTACAGTATAGCCCAGGGTGGCCTTGAGTTGCCCCAAATCTTCCTGCCTCGGGTGGGACTGTAGAAATAAACCATGAAGACCAGTGTGGCACAATTCCTATTTCTACGTTGAAAATAGAATTCCTCAAGGTTTCTATTCCTTTCTGATAGTTGACTTTAATACTTTGGTGAGATGGGTGCTATGCAATGTCTCGCCCACAGTTGCATCTTTTCTCATGACTTACCAAGAGTAGCGCATTTTCCTCATCATGAGTGTCTTAGTGCTCCTATTAGCAAATGCTTTAGATTGGGTGGTTTGTAAAGAACAGCAATTAATTTCTCACAGTTCTGGCAGTTAGAAGTCCCAACATCAAAGCAGCAGCATCTGGCATCTGCGAAAGTCCTTGTTGCACTCTTAGATGGCTGGAGATGCAAATGCTGTTTCCTCACCTAGCAGAGGAGATGGAAGGACAAAAATGAGCGTGTCTGGTATTCTCCAGTCCTTTTGAAAAAGACTAATCTGCTACATAGGAGCAGCGCTCCCACATCCTTATCACCCCCTAACAGCCCACCATCTCCACCACAATAGTGTTGTGCTGGGAATTAAGTTTCAGAATAAATTTTGGAGGGCACATGAGCATTCAAATCACAGCGTCATGTACTTCATCTATCTCCTCATCTTTCCACATTTGAAGAATGGGGCAGCTCTGTTTCTTATTTTAAAGAATTGTAGATATTTAAAACAAAGATCTATGTAAAGCATAGGACCCAGTCCCCAGTACCCCCACACTCAAAACCACACGCCTGCTATGAATGGTGTTGACCTCTCGTTTCTGTTGATACTGATAGGCTCTCAAAGAGCCTACAGGTGGAAACCAGCACTATCTTAGAAACCCACTGTGGTGAAAAATGCACGGCGTCATATCACTTGGAAGGTGGAGACAGGATCAGAAAGTCAAGGTTATCTTCTACCACTTGGCTACTTGGGGAATTTGAGACCAGCCTGTGCCATATGAGATCATGTCTCAAAATAAAGATCTGTCCTTTTTTTGCTTATTCAAAACACACAAGAGGCTATTTAAAACAAGTAACTAGCCTTCAGCTATATATCCTGACCTCTTCCTAGTCAACTTGAGTTCAGAGCTTAAACCTGGATGAAAATCAATGGAGGATTTTGTGTCCACAAATATTTCTTCTAGAAATGCTTGCTCTGAAGACACTTCAGTCTCTCAGACATGTGTTTGAGGACTGCAAATGAAAACCTGTTCGTTGGTCATTAACTAGACAAGTCTGAAGATGAAACCTTGGCCAATTCTGGTCCCGTTTACCATTCTCTCTCTCTCTCTCTCTCTCTCTCTCTCTCTCTGTGTGTGTGTGTGTGTGTGTGTGTTTGTGTGTGTGTGTGTGTGTGTGTGTGTGAGAGAGAGAGA